TTGCCCTGAATTTTTCAAATAATCTTTTTGGTAGTGTAATAGGAAGTGTCTGGAGTGGGTATAAGATACAAGGAAGCACGTTAATTTTTTAAATGTTAATCCTACAAAACCAACCATAACAAGGTCTATGCCATGTCTTTATGTCGGTAGAGATAGCTGTCAGCAATGGAGGGAAGTTTAGTTCATATAGTGAGTCTGGTTTAGTTGGCAGACGCACTCCTAGGTATGTGATAGATATATTGGCCCAGGAGAAGTGGAATAGTTCCTGCAGTTGGGTATCGAGGGTCAGCGTTGTGTAAAGGGGTAGTAAATCGCATTTAGCAAGGTTCACTTGAAAATTGGAGATCATACTGTATTTGTCCATTTCTGCTAGTATAATTGGAATTGTGGATAGTGGGTCTGATATGGTAAATAGTAGATCATCTGCTAATGCCATGATCTTGTATTCATGTTCTTTAATCTTAAAACCCTATATCTGTTGGTTATCTCTAATCCCCTGTAGGAAAGGTTCAAGTACCAAGTTAAAAACAGGAGAGGTGATAGGGGGCATCCCTGTCGTGTACCATTTGTTATAGCCACTGGGTGAGATAACTGATCGCTAATACGCAGTCGGGCTGTGGGTGATGAGTATATCGCTGCCAGCCACTCCTGCCCAAAGCCCAAGTGGCGCTCTGTGTGGGATATGAGTGCCCAGTTCACCCTATCGAAGGCCTTTTCGGCATCGATGGCTAATAGGGTACAGTGTAATTTATGTGTTTGGGCCCAGAGCATGAGCTTTATCATTTTTGTCGTGTTGTTCTTCTATTTCTAGGTAGACCTGGTAAGTTAAAAAAGTAAAAGCAATCCTACAGGTGATTGAGGCCCTACCTTTGACCAATGGGGGGACAATACATATAGCAATGGTCTGCAAAGGTTTAAGACATATATGCATGTACAGTTGTACACCTGTCTAACGTTGAGCAGACAATCAGTCCAATAATTTTGATGCAGTCGCATGGCATCGACGGTTCAGTGGCTATTTAGGCCTAGCTAATTGAGTCAACGAATTCGGCCATGGATCTGAGTAAATTAATGTTTGTCTCTTCCTGGTGAGGCCATAGCAGAGTGTGGGTGGCCGTGCAGGAAAGTATGTGCCGGTAGTTCTCGTTGCGTCTCGGGACTGAGTGGAGCAAAGGGTGGGAATAGAGAGAAGGAGGTGCAGCCAGAAAGTCTCACAATGCTACTTAAGGTTCCATGTGTGCATTACAGAGGTAAGCTTATGTCTTTGGGTCATCTCTTCACTGAGAAAGGTGTTGTTCGTTGTCGACCACCTCCTCCTTGAGTTGTCGCTTGTCTATGGAGAGGTGAGAAAAGGCGTTCTTCTTTTCTTCGTCGGGTTGTTCCATCTCTGTCATTGTGGGAGACTTGAGGTGTCTGGATTCTGTTTGGGAAAATTCCAGTCCATAACCGATGTGTCTGGAAGATCTAAGGCTCTGAGAAAAGGTGGTATGTCTAGAGGTGAGGTAATCGAATAAGTGCTGCCTTTGCTGGCAAATGGGAAGCCCCATCTGTATTTGATGTTTCAGTTTCTCAAATGTTCTGTTACGAGTTTGAGGGCCCTTCTCGTCTGGAGAATGTACCAGGATAGATACGGATTTTTATAGGGTTTCTGCGAAATAGGAGTGGTTGTGATGTGTCCCTCAGGATTCTCAGTATATTGTCCTTGGTGGAGAAATAGTGTACCCTGCATATGATGTCTCTTGGGGCCTAAGGGGTAATCCTCTGGGGCGTAGGGTGCAGTTGGTTCTATCCAAAATAATCCAGTTGCCACTTGCCTCTCCTAGTATCGAATTAAAAAGTTCAATGAGGATTGACATTATGTCCTCTTCTTGGGACTCTGGTAGGCCTTGTATGCATAGGTTATTTCTATGGCCACGGTTTTCTAGGTTGTCTATATGATGTTGAATAGAGGACATATAATGTGTTTGGGATTCAACTGTCTAAGATAGGTATGTTTTTGGGGCCTGTAGGACGTCGCGCTCTTCTTCTAGGTCCTTGACCCGGAGATTAATTTGCTTAGCATCTGTGCCCATTGCCTCCATTTTAGAGTGGAACGCCTCCAGTTTCAACAGCATGTTCTGCAGATCAGTTTTAGATGGTAGGTTTCACAGCATTTCCCTGATATCTGTCTCAAGTCCTGTGTCCATCGATATATGCGAGTACTCAGAGAGTGATAGGCTTTGTGGTGGAAAGTCAGCTTGATTTTCAGGCTCCACCATCTTGGATTCAGCGGCCTCCATCTCGCGGTCTAAAATGTCTTTGAAATATCGGGTGAGTGAGCCCGATTTTGCTGAGAGAGTTTTCCCTGATTGCCCCTGAGGCTGATTGTGCTTTTTGGGGATAACCATGGTTGCTGGAGATCTCTGATTAGTTAGGATTTGTGCCTGGGTCTATGGAAGCAATAGTATTTTATGTCTTTTTTCAAAGAGGGTAAAAGGGTAACAAGAAAATGTGTACAATGTGCATCATGTGAAGGAAGGACTGAGTATAACCAGGTGAGAGTCTGGAGAACAGAATGCCTTGTGGACAGAGAGACTGAGTTTGATAAAACCAATATGGCTGGCCATCTTTGATATAGAAAAATAATGTCATTATTGCTGGGATCCACTTTTATGTTTATATAGATTCTTATTCCTTATTCCTTGTTTGTCCACTAATCAAACATTGGATATTTAAATTAGGATAGACGGATAGATAGATAGATAGATAGATACACAGACAGTCAGTCACACAGACAGACAGTCACACAGACAGACATTCAGTCACACAGATAGTGATGTCGCGAACATGAAATTTTCGGTTCGTGAATGGCGAACGCGAATTTCGGCAAATGTTCGCGAACCCGCAAACCGGGCGAACCGCCATAGACTTCAATAGGCAGGCGAATTTTAAAACACACAGGGACTCTTTCTTGCCACAATAGTGATGGAAAAGTTGTTTCAAGGGGACTAACACCTGGACTGTGGCATGCAAACTCCGATCCGCGGCTGCATCTTGCAGCCGCTTAGTAGATAACTCTAGAGCTATCTACTAAAAGGCTGAAAGACCTAAATTGGTCTTTCAGCCACATTTACTAATACTAAGTAGAGATTACTTAGTATTAGTAAACTCTGCCCCTACTCGCTATGCAGCGAGTAGGGGCATGTCTAGTAAGCAGTGAGCAGCCAGTGGCTGCTCACTGTAAAAAAAAAAAAAAAACCTATTGCCCCCCACCCCTGTGCAACGGGTGGGGGCCATTAATTACAATGGGGGGGAGGCCCTACTGTCCTCCCCCCCGGCCCCCACCCCTGCGCGGGGGGTGGGGGCCATAAAAATAATGAGGGGGGGGACCTACTGTCCTTCCCCCTGGCCCCCACCCCTGAGCGGTGGGTGGGGGCCCTAAATAAATAAATGGGGGGGACCTAAGGTCCTCCCCCCTGGCCCCCACCCCTGAGCGGCGGGTGGGGGCCCTAAATACTAAAAAGGGTGGGGGACCTAATGTCCTCCCCCCCGGCCCCACCCCTGAGCGGTGGGTGGGGGCAAATAAATCACAATGGGGGGACCTAAGGTC